AGATGCCAGACACGCTGTAGTAAATCCTTTAATCTGCCTCGTGTATACAAATGCGCTTATTTGGTGCAGGGTTCCATCCAGTATGGCTTGGCATCACAGTGTAATCACTATCCCGCGCATCAAAGGTGGAGGGGTCTCCTGTGTGAACTGGTCATTGACTTGCAGTTGACGGTGTGTGTGTGTGTGTGTGAATGTGTGTGTGTGTGTGTGTGTGTGTGTGAAAGAATTACTTTCCAAAAAATGAAACGTAAAAAAATTACATGAAACCTTTCTTTTTGCTGGAAATACTTGGTTATTTACAGTGTTTTGATCAGTATAAAACACTGGAAATTAACCAGAAAAATATATAATTTTTAGCATTTATCGTTTTTTTATTCTACATTTATGTTCTCATGTTCCACACACCTGTTGTATCTTTCAAAGTTCTGATATTTTAAGAAGAAACAATTATAATCATATCTTGGCAGAATTTTTTTTTTCTTCTCACATCAAAGCTTTACTACATGATCATTAAGGTCTCTTCCATGAATGGTTTATAGTTGCAATAGCAATATCAGATTCTGAGGCGATTAGAGAAAATAAAAAAAATGAATACTACAAACCACTTGAACAACATTAGATTATGAAAATGACCAATAAAAGACCAGAGTTATAACACCCAGACACAATTTAGGCATTGCTGAATTAGCTTTGGAGATGACCACATCAGTTGCATTGGATGGGAAAACTGTCTTCACTGTGTTTCTGTGTCACTTCATCTTTGATGTCAAAGTTGTGCTACTGCTTGAATGTGCTCAACATAAGGGCATAGAAAGCAATGAGAAGTGTTAAAAGATGTACATAAACTCCCAGGTCTTTTACAACCGTCCCTGCCTTAGGATGATAAAGCAGAGTATGCTTTATGATGGCCTGTGCTATGATTGACAAGTCAACGCCATATGAGAATACAATGTGTTTTACAGTCAGATTCAGCCCTTGCTTCTCGTGTGACTTTTCAAAGCACCAGGTTGGAACTGGGTGTGGCATCAGTGTGGCTACATGCAACTTTCAGCTCTTTATTTTCTATTAAACACAGTAATCTTTAGAAAGTACAGAGGCACCAATCCATTTTTGTGAACATACTGTATATTTCAAATGCACAATTAACATTGTTTTATCCTGTATCAAACACTTTTGTGGTTTGTTCCTCTCATGAAATAGTGCGTCCACTAGGTGGAGATGCTGTAAAAAGATGCCACGTGAAAGGGGAACAGGAATAATGCCTGTCTATTCAAATGTCAGATGTCTATTCATATTAATGTATAGAATTCACCTGCTTGCTGCTACTACTGCACATTCACCCAATGTATGTCAGGCTACATTTCACTGTGTGTTATACTTGTATAACTATGCATGTGACAAATAAAGAACCTTGAACCTTGAACCTTGTCTTCAGATAGCAGCATCATGTGACACTGAAAGGACCTGTTTACTGACTGACCCTTTGCAAACCAAAAGTGAAAGTACTGGAATAGACAAGCATTCATTGTTTTTTTCAGTGTGGTGAAGAAAATGTCAGACACAAGAGATTACCAAAGGATATTGTAAGTAAACATCTGAATTTTAAAAAACAAAAACAGCTCTCTTCGGCTGTGAAAAGCTGCCTCTCTGCCATGCATTAGAGTAATAGATTTCTATCCATCTGAGGTTGTTTTCTATTTTTAGCTTAGTCTTCCGGTTCTAGTAAGGGTTTACACTGAGCACCTTTTACTAACCTTGTTACATATTAACCAACTAGCTGTATTTATTGGATTGTTAAAGTCAGACTAAAAGCTGCTTTCTCTTTCATAATCCCGATACAGAGACCAGGAAGAAGTAGAGCAAGGTGGGAAAAAAATACAACCTATTTTCTTATTTTATGAAACACTTAATGTTGCCTCCATAACACAACACAAACTATGTAGTTGCTGAGGAATAGAGCTGCAGCTGTAGCATAAAAGAATTTAAACACCAAAAGGGAAATAAAGGTGAATGAGAGAAGTGGCCAGAACATAAATGCTAATGTTGCTGAGTTTGCATGCGTGCATGTAGGTGTGTGTGTGAAAATCTAAGAACACCAATAATTCAGTAGCTTCTAGAACCATCTTTAGCAGCAATAAGTATGACTCTGTTTGACTGTATCAGTCTCTTCACCACATTGTGGAGGAATTTGGGTGCTGTGCTCACACATAATTTGATTAAATAAAACTACAAATACTGCAAAAAGGTGTATTTTCTTTTTATTATGACTACAGTTATAATTGCACAGCATTGTGTGGATTTGTAACAGTTTTAAAGAGTTACTTTGGAAAATTACCCAAATCTTCTTTTCCTTCATCTTTAGTTTCATGGAAAACATTCCATGTCTGGTTGGCGGGAAGAACAAATGAGGCTCACTATCCCATTATTGAAATGCTCAAAAGAATTGGTCAAACTCAGGTGAAGTCTCCAGAAGAATGTGACTATCTTCTGGTTTTCTGTCCTGTTGTTTCACGAGTTGGAACAGACATCACAGATGCCCTGAGCAACCTGCCTAGTAAGAAATACTATATGAGATTACTTAGTATTGAATGTAGGAAGGTAATCTGAGAAATGTAAGTGTATGTAAATGGTATAATAGCAGGATAATTAATTAAATAATTGTGGAAATGTATTTTGAGACCACAGCCTAAAAATGAAAGTTTATCTGCATCTGCCTGGTCTTATATAAGTTATCCACGTCTGTATATTTAACATATTTATTTCTCATAACAAATTTGTAAGTAATAAGAAATAAATATGGATAACTAATGGATTAAAAATAGAAATAACTAAAACATATTTGTGACAAAAGGGTCATGCTTAACAGCCTTCATGGTCTGCAGTATGAGCTACAAAGGTAGAAACTTAATTTATGTGTTTCACTTTGTTTCTGACTCAGTTGATCTGGTTGCGTCTGTGCTTACAGGTAGTAAACCAGTGATTCTGGTGGTGATGCATCATACTATCAATCCTCATCATGTTGTATCTGAAAGTCAGAGACAGGTGAACAACCGAAACGTTCATCTCACTGTGGACTGTCTATTTTATGAGGACAAACTCCTGAACTGCAAACTCAATAATAACTTAGAAGATACACTCTTCAAGCTTTTTAAACTTTCAGTTTGTCAGGTAATGATTTCTCATACTGATTTAGTATTACACTTATATACAATGACAGAGTTGTGTGCTGTGATATTTTTAAAATCAGTGATAATGACTTCTTTCTGCCTTTCTTTTTATTCTTCAGAGGATTTTGTGGTGTAAGTATTACAGTCTTGATGTTGTGTTACGCCATTTTCTAAACTGATGACAACTTTGTGGTACAATTTTCACCAACCATATAATGTTATTTCAGTGGACATTTTGAACTCTTTCCTTCTAAACAATAATATATTTCTCTACTATCTATTTGATCTTAGTTTGTTTGTTTTTTTTCTGATTTTCAGAGTCAAAAAAAATTGCACCTAGTGTTGTAATGTCCATCAAAAATAAAACCATTTATAAACATTTTTATAAATTTTATAAAAACATTTTGAATTAAACTATTAAATATCCTCATAAGTACTATAGATTGTTTTATATTTAGCTGACTTATTGTCCGTTTCCTGCTTTTATTTTAGATCCGAGGAGCCTTTGGACATGGTGTTGTATTACAACAAAATGATCCATCAGGAAGTCACTGTGCAACTAAATTAAACGTAACCTTTCTGGATTGTGCTGTTATTACCGTTAATACTTTATAGTTATGAAGTTTTGGGGTAGAATTTACTGATCTATACTGTTTGTTATATATCTATCACTGTTTTATATCTGGATCACAATAGAGGTGTAATGTTGCAAACATACCAGATCTGCAGATAATCTTTCCACACTGCGTGAAGATAAATTTATATATATGTATAAGAAAAAGCATGAATAAAAAAAGCTTAAAGATAAGAAGTGAGTTCTTAATTATTTACTCCTTATTACGCCGTAATACTGCAGACATGCTAAAAGGCTCCAAAGTTCATTAAAAAGATGTTTTGGTTGCTAACTATACCTAGCTATAGTGATGGCAAAGGAAATGTTGTGTCTTATAAACATGTATCTTCACCGGGCTGCATGGCACACGTTAACGAGCTAAACTAACGCGTTGCGGCCAGGCAGCCCCATGCACGGGGCAATCTGCACGTGCGTGAAGCTTCTTCAGTTCTGAATGAACTGAAGAAGCTTCTCGGATGAGAGGTGAAACGTCTTCAAGCAACTTAAAGAAGTCCAGACACTTTTCTTTCCAAGCTCCTTAGACTACGATGACCTGGATGACTGAGAACCTTCACAGATATGCTGACAGCACTAATGAAAACAGATCCGTTCAATGACATTGCGCCTCATAATCGGTAATAAAAGTACGGTATACATTTATGATGTTTTAAGAGAGATCTGTTGAACAATCAGTAATATTATAGTAAAAATATGCAGTTTTTCCCACCTTCTTACAAAAGAGCAGTGTTTATATGTGAGCAACCTACCAGTGTGCTCATAAAAGTGTAATATATATATATATATATATATATATATATATACAGAGAGAGAGCAAACACATGTTCTGAGATTTCAGCTGAATTGTCAGGGCTCTGTGTGCGGGCAGGCGGAGGTGAGGATCCAAGTGCAGGACTCGTGGAGACAGGATTTCAACTCAAAAAAGCTTCTCATCGCAGCTTTATTGCTGGTAAGGAAAAAAAACATAAACAGAACAATGAGCGCTTAAAACAGAAACACACAGCCAGGATGTGAGGGTACAACGCGACACTGAGCGAAGGCAAACACAGGGTTTATATACACAGGGGAGTAATCAGGAAATTGAAAACAGGAGGGAGACACAGCTGGGAGAGATTAGGGCTAACGAGACAGGGGGAGCGAAGTTGGACATACT